AAACAGCACAAAAGTGTTTATAAGTCAGAAACGGGTGTGACAAACAAATTCTTACATTACTTCTAACAATATATGATGTTTATATGAATTGTAGTTATTTTGCATTACACTTCTAAAAGCTAAACAACGATAGTATAAAATAACATAACATCTAAGAGCATTTAAAAGTGTGAAGTATCATATTTATTTGTGAAAATTGGAGGTTAAGGATCAACATCTATAACAATGGTGGTTAGGGCGCTTGACTCGCAATCTAAGGGTCACGGGTTCGAATCCCCGCCCCCCCCCCCAAACATGATCGCTGTTTTGATCTATCTGAAATATAATTAGTTTTTCATATTTTACTTAATTTACAAAGATAAATGAATTCCTCAAATAATCCAAAAATGGGAGGGGGGTAGAAAGTAAATTGGATGTAGAACGCCAGTTCCTACAACCGCCCTTTTAAAAATCAGGATAACATTTTGGTATGTTTGTTTGTTTGAATTTCGCGCAAAGTTACACGAGAGCTATCTGCACTAGCCGTCCCTAATTTAGTAGTGTAAGATTAGACAGAAGGCAGCTAGGCATCACCACCCACCGCCAAATCTTGGGCTACTCTTTTACCAACGAATAGTGGGATTGACCGTCACATTATAACACTCCCACGGCTGAAAGGGCGAGCATGTTTAGTGGAACGGGAATGCAAACCAGCGACCTTCGGATTGCGAGTCGAGCGATCTAACCACTACGGCCACGCTTGTCAATTATACTTTGAAATATATTGTCATTTCTATACTTCAAATATATTTTTTTAATTTCCCTTCCAACGTTTTTATCGACTAAACTATGTTTTATGAAAATGAATCTCAGAGCACCAGATGTTATACTGTAATTAGTTAATTTCATTTACTTCTTTTCAAGCAAATTATTATTTAAAGCCTTAAAAAATTCGAATGTGTTTTGTTGTGAAGTCTTAAATATACTTATAAAATAAAGTTTACAATTTGATTCTTTTATCAAAAAAATTTCGTATCAAAATTATAGAAACGTCCAGATTTGTATAGACACAAACATATTTTAAGAATGATTGTTCAAATAACCTATCGTACTTGGGCTAATCAATATGAAAAATGTCTGTTATAAAAGTTTGATTTTTATAAAAGGCTACCCAGTTAATTTAAATGAATTACTACAAAAATTGCAAGAATTATGTAGTTAATCACAAGGGTTATGTTAAATAGTATTCTATGCGGTACTATCTGTTTGATATTTTATTATAACTTAATTTAGATATGCAACCTTTGTAAAAGCTGACATCTTGACAATTTTAAAAGTTATGTCACATGAGACTTTACACATTAAATATGTCAGGCGTCTCCCAGTGGTTAATGTGCAAGAACTGAGAATCCGATGAATTGTGGTTCACTTCCCGCTCCCACAAAATCACTTTTCGTATTTTGTCACATTATGTCATTTTGTCACATTATGTCACATGAGACTTTACATATTAAATATTTCAGGCGTCTCCTAGTGGTTAATGTGCAAGAACTGAGAATCCGATGAATTGTGGTTCACTTCCCGCTCCCACAAAATCACTTTTCGTATTTTGAGGCTGTGGGTGCGCTAAAGGAGTAACGAGCATATCCAATTTTAGAGTCAGATTAAAATTATCCCAAGTGTTGGCGGCGGGTGCTAATGACTAGCTGCCATCCCTCTATCAGCTCAAAATTACGGACGGTTTTTCACGAAAATTCTAAAATAAACGAATATACGTTAAATATATATCTTTACATTTCAGATAACCCTAGTGGCTCTATAGACACAGTTTTGTAAAATATAGTTAAGAGGCATTTGCATAGCAATAAAATATTTTAAATTGTTAGTTAGTATTCTATTTAAACAAAATTCTCCTCATTGGAAATAAGATAATAATAATATGCTTTAAAAAGCAATGAGGACTAAATTTTCATTATATGATAGTCATCATTAGTTATTATAAGACACATAAAGATCACTCTCTTCTTAAAGACCATCGAATTATCCAACGTCTTACAAATATCATTGGCAAGATCCGAGAGAAGACTATAAGCTAGAAGCGTCTCAGATTGAACCAGTACTACCTTCATCATTATCTGTGTATCGCAGCGGAAGAAAAGCATGGATTAACGTTCTGAAACTGGTTATAACACCTTGGCAAAAGATTTAGATCTGTAAGATGCCTACAGTGGAGTCCAACTGTCCATTCTTGATCCGAATAGGCATTAGGATAACAAGTGTAAGATGGGTTGTAGTTGCACTAACTACCAGAAGATGCACCGTAAAGCATGCAAGCTGGCAATCGGATTGGATCATCATCAACATTGGTCTGCCACAAGGATCACCACTTTCACCAGTCCTCTTCAACAGCTACACCATTGATATAGCCCGCCTTAACAGTCCAATCAGATGTTATGTGCTAACCTTTGCCTTTGAGATTCTGGTGTACAGCAAATGCTATAGCAAAGCTGAAATTGAAAGCAATGAAAGTTACGTGTAACCATGTCTTATCAGAGTGATTAAATGATGCACTAATAATGTTCTGCGCATAGGCTTCAGAAGCATCGCAGAACACCAACAGTTCTTACAACAAGTTTATTCACTAGGGCTTTGCAGTGTAAAGGCCTCGATTTCCATTACTGAACTGCTCTTATCAATTAGGGCATTCTAGTTTCACAACGACACCGTAAACACCAGCCGAGTACTCAGACACAGTGGTGGAAAGGCGTTATAGAGCTACCACTGAGACAAGTTATTACCTCCAAACCTCAGATTTCTCCATGTGGAACAAACATATGATGACACCGAAATATTTGAAGATCAGCCTAGACAGAAAAGATTGATAAGAGGAAGAAACAGGAAAATCCTGTCAGTACGTATTTAAAGAGCATGGTGGACAATCACCTGTCACCACAGTCACAAGAGGTTCCTACATTAAAGACAGTGAGAGAGCTGGTTGGGCAGTCATTGTCTTACGAAGTCAATACATTCTGCAAAGGCTGGTGGAGCATTAAAGCTTCCTCTAAGCAGCACAGTGATGGAGCTAGAAGCTATAAAGCAAGCATCTCCTCTGAATTGCTGGAAGCAACAAACCACTAACATAATATTTGCGACTAACTCACAGGTAATACTGTATAAAATTCAGAGTGGCTGATCCCTTGATAGACGGCAGAAATTAAATCTTGTGTTTGTTTGTTGTTAAGCGCAAAACTACAGAATAGGCTAGCTGTGCTGTGACCCCACACATGGGTATCGAAACCCGGTTTTTAGCAAAATAAGGCATCAGACTTGTCACTGAGCCAATAGGGGGCAGAAAGCAAAGCAGCTGCAGGTTAAGACAATCACATGGATGTATGTGTCAGGCCATGCAGGGCAATGGTAAACGAGGAAGGTGACAAGCTTACATAAGAAGCCCCTTTATCAACTCCAGTACAACTCTAGTGGCAGAATATCAACCTCTTCTGCATTAGCAACGTAAAATCGGCAACCATGGAAGGTCTTCATAGATATTCAGAGGAATGAGACTGTCAGAAAACAAAGCACCGTATGATGTAGTTTGGAAGAGCAAAAGATTGGGAATCAATAAGACAGTAAACAGCCAGAAAGCCTCTAGTAATAGCAGTAAAAGAATTATTTTGTGCCACCTGCGAAGCAGCCGGTCTCCACATGGAGGGTCAGTGCCTGGCGGTGCAACAGCTGGGATTGTCACCTAATTCTCAACTCAACATAATACATCTGTGGTATATATATATATATATATATATAATTCCAAGCTCAACAGTCTTCTTGTTTATTTGTTTGCTGTTATATTTCTCTTTAGGAAAATTATTAAACTTTTCTTGTTTGTTGTGTTTAGATTAGCGAGATGATTCATTCCCCAAACCTGTCGCCTTAGTTTCTCCATGCTGCTGATTTTTTATTCATTGGTTAGTTGTCATATTCGCAACGAGTATAAACGTTAATCTCTACAACTTCAGCTTCTTGCGGAACAGAGCAACAATGAACAATCATACGATTTTACTCAGTGAGAGTCTGCACATTCTAAAAACAGTATTATAAGCAAATACACAGTAAGCATTTGTGAATATGCCTTTATCTGTTTCGAAGGCACGTCCCCGAGACGTTGTTGAAAACACTATTGAAGTATATTGTATATCAACACATACCTTTTGTGTAAATGTCATCTATATTTCTCACGTTTTCGTTCTTAACATTAAGTGTTAACACTGCATAAAAGAGAACCATTTCAGTCGTACTGTAAGACATTTCTACAGTAACTTATACTTTATTTTATATTATAAAATAATAATCGTTTTCGGTGGTTCCACCTGTAAGGCTGCGATATCTATTAAAAACACACAAAGTGTACATTCTTACATGTTCGTGAGAGTGCCCCTTAAGATATTTTGTTTAAATTAAGGGAAAAGCATCTTCCATAGTTTTTAAAGTTGCCAAATTTTTAGTTAAAGACAGATAAAAGGGAAAATAAACGTTTCAAATTGCAAGTAATTTTACAGCTTATTTTGTTCATACACAAAAATACACGCGAAAAGTGTTTTAACAATTAACACCTCAATAGCAGCTTTTGAGTGAGCATTTAAAGTTGGTAATAAGATAGTTATGCACGAAATTAACATTTTGGCTTTACAAAACTCAATAAAAAAGAAGCAGAACATCGTGAATTAGTACACATTGAGGTGTTTATCTGGCGCTATGCACTTCTAAATACTGTTCAATTTGAATCAAATGAAAAAGTAAAAGATCCGAGTAATGGCTGTTATTTTTTATCGTATAGAAAGTACTCTCGCTAGATTCTGTCTACAGGAACTGCTAATGAACTAAAGAGTAGAAGAGTAGAACATAACACTATATTTATGAGCGTTACCCCTAAGGCACCGATATGACCCAGACAATTATGTAAATTCACTTTTAATAACTTAATTATTACGAGCTACCAGCAACAAAGCACCTGATGTACTAACCCGTAATTATGTGGTCAGGCAAGTTCTTCCCGCTTCCAGGGAGGGGCACTAACAGAGACTCGTCCTCTTCAGGGCTTTCATCAAAGAACTCTTCATCCACTTCATCAACTATATTTAGAGATTATAATCTGATTATTCTACAATCGGTGATTTCAGTAATTGAATATACAGCTAGATAACAGGAATAAATGAATAAGTAAGATAATGATTGATTGAATAGTTGAGTTCAATTAAACTGGTATTGACTACAGAAAGCTAATTCGTTGACGAAAGCAATCGTAAAAAAAAACGGTTAAGTACAAAAATAAAAATAAGAAAGATAAGCAAAATACATAATGTCACTAACATGTAATATTTAACTATTACACTAAGGTAACAGTGTAAACATTTACACAGACCTTGTGTAATAGAATTTTTATTCAATAGGTTTATCTGTAAGTAAGTAATAGATATAAGGAAAGACTATTAAAGAGGCGAACAGTTAGTAACTTCTAAAGCTAGTATTCACTAAAAGCACGAATAAAACGTAAGCAATCATAAACGTACTCCATCAACGGTACAGCTAGCGTCCTCTCGAGGATCTTCTTCACATAAATGAAGCAAAGTTAGGGGAGCACTAACTTTTTATCAACCTGGCATTCCTTTGTCAAGGTGCATGGAACCATGGGATATCATGAAACACATTCATTGGCCACTGCTTTATTCGTGCATGAAGCTTCGCGAAACATGAAAGATCACATATAATCAGTCCACATTCTGCTTTTGTTAATACAATCTGAGCAAACCTATTTCGACAGTTTTATTTAAATATTCACTGAAATACAAAAATAAAAAGATAAGTAAATTTTCAACAGAAAGCTACAGAAGTACTAAAATACTACAGAAATACATTACTGAAACTTGATCATCTAATTTCATTGAAAAATATCGAGCGAGTGGAGCGCCTAACCACCTGGTCATGGCGGGCCTACATGTGTCTACCACATTTCTTAAAAAATCGATCATTTTTGACTGAGTTATAGAGTAAATATAGTGTAAAAAATCGGTCCCCCATGTTAACAAATAGGGATTTTTTTTGGATTTTCATAACCTTGCTGTGACCTTGACCCTCCAAAAACAAAATTTTCTAAATTGGGTCATAGTTATTGGATATTTTTAGAGAAATCTTGCTGACAAACACACACAGCTGTGAAAACATGTTTCCATCTTTAGTAAATCATCTAATTAATAATTCTGTCAAGTCCTTTATTGATAAAAGTCGTTGAGCTAGAATGTAACCACTGACATTGAAAAACACAGTATTTAAAATGCATATTTTGGTGATAATGTACTACTACAACGGCACCTGTTAAAAACTTCAAACTGCTAGTACCCTCTGATTTCTTGTTACAGAAGGTATCGCATTTTTCTTCTCGATCATGAACAAGTGTAGTTTAGAATCAACTGACCTCTTTCATCAACGTCTAAAGAGAGTGACGTCTAGTTTGTACTGACACACCACCTTACATTTTATAACTTAAAACTTCCGTTTTTGTTTTCCTTTGATGCAAGTTCTGATCGAGCGAGCAATTGATTTCTTACTGGTTAAAAGACATTTATTGTTTCTCTGCAATGTTAGTAGCGGAATGCCATCTTGTACCAATATAAATACAGAGCCTGGATCAGTTAGGAGCTAACACGGCTCTAGATATCGCATTGTTTACACAACAGAGTTCTACATTGTTATACAACTTCTAGGTACTTCATCATTAAATAGTAGAACCAAAAACATGGATCAAACTTATGGAACCTGCAGTGTGCGCATGCAAATAACTTTGGTTACAAGAGTATTCCTTTTTTTAGAATTCTACGTATTTTCTATAACTGTTTTATACAAAACTTTTCACTCATCTAAAATCTTTTCTGTATAGTAATATAATGTAATTATTTTATATATATATATATATATATATATATATAAACTTTAGCATGGCATTGCTGGATTGTTTGTTGTTAAACACAAAAGTACATCAAGGACTATATATGTTCTGCCTATCGCGGGTATTGAACCCCGATTTTTTGCGTTATAGGTCCTCAGATTAACCGTTGAGCCACCAGGAGGAGTCAAGCTTAGTGAAATGACTTCTACCTCGCGTGAAATAACTTCTTTAACTGTCGCTATGGGAATCTTGATAATTAGCGTATTGCTTTTTCACTATTTTAATGTGTGATGAAATATTTCTAGAAATATTTAGCTCGCATAGAAATAACATTTCAAATAATTAACAATTTCTGAAAAAAAAAAATTAAAACATTATGTAAATCAGAACTAAAGTAACTCAAAATAATTTATACTAAAGATAGTCAGATAGAGGGCAATTTGAGTTGTTGTTGGACTTTTAGCGCATAGTTACACAATGAGCTATCTGCATTCTGTTTCCTGCGGAATATCGAACCCCGGATTTTAGCAATGTAATTTCGGAAACTTACCGTTGACCCACTGGACTACGGCAGTTTGGTTGCTCTCTTGAAAGTTTTCAATACGAAATATTTACAATTGTTAAAAAGCCTTTTTATTATTTGATGTTGTTTTTGAAATTTAATATTAGTTTCCTTTTATAAACCTTTTTATTTTCTCTCAGAAAACTTATATGCGACTTGATGGTTAGGGTGACTGTGGGTCGCGAGATCCAAACCCGTTGCCGGGCAAGCTTGTATCTTCTGCTGTACGAGCAATATAATGTTATGGTCAATCCCACTATTCGTTGGTAAAGAGTAGCCCAACAGTTGGCGGCGAGTGCTACCGGCCAGTTTCCTTGCCTATGTTCAACAGTTCAAAATTAGAGACGATTGTGGACAGTCTTAGTAGCTTTGCCATAAATCAAACACTGACGAAATACGTTGGGAAAAGTAACAGCTATTTTTACAAATTTTAGTATGAACAATTCATTGCTTTACAATTTCTTTAAGCAGTCGAAATCTTCTTTCATTAAAAGCAGTTTGGCAGTACACAATTCTCTAAAATCAATCACAAATGCCAGCAAACAACAAAAGACAATTTCACTCATTATTTATACCAAATATGGATGTTATCAAGTAGTCTACAAACTTAGTTTATGCTTTTAACTTGGGAAATCTTGAGAGTTTCTCTGCAAATGGTTAGTTTTTACGTCACAGAATGCCTTCTACACATTTAATCCTTTAAGATCAACTTGTTTCGATCAATATGCGTTTTGAAATATAATACATTTCAAAGCAAAACAATCACCGAGCATATAGAAGTAAAAAATCTGGAAATAACGTTTTCTTATTTTTACTGGATAATCTTGAAAGTTAATAATAAATTCAATCCATATATCACAAAATTACTCATTAGCTTATCTTTGTGTTTATTTCGGATATTCGCACAAAGTTACTCAAGGGGTATCTTCGCTAGCCGTCTCTAGCTTTGAAGGGATAGACAAGATATAAGGCACTTTGGGGCAATGGGTGCGTTATAAGAGTGATGGTCAAATCCCACTATTCGATTAGAAGGAATATCCCACGAGTTGGTGGTGAGTGATGTTGACTAGCTGCCTTCCTTACAGTCCATCACTTCAAAATTAAGGACGGTTAGCGCATATAGCTGTTGAATAGCTATGCGCGAAATTCAAGAAACAACAAGTTATAAAGAAGGTTTATTATTCTCCCACTTATAAAAATAACTATACCAGTAAAAATATTGATAATAATAATAGCAAAATCTATATTATTAAAAGAGTAACGTGTGTGTGTGTGTGTGCGTGGGAAATAGTTTTAAAAACTTTATTAAACTATGCAAAAATGAAATTAGGAGTAGAAAAATACGGATGACATCACTATCAGCGAAAGGGAGGGAGCGTAGATAGTAGATATGCACTGCAAAAGGAAAGTATTTGGGGGAACGGATCTATCATCTCTCAGAGCCCCCAAAAATGAAAAAAAAACGATTGACTTATATAGTAAGAGACACTACTTCTAGCGACGTATTCAAATCCTGGATATCGGGGGTGCAGGAGAGTGACAGTACCAGTCATCTAAGTGTCTATAAACAAATGAAGAAATTCACACACAAAACTATAACACACAGACTCTGCTGTCTGAGATATCACACCATTCACCTCAAGGTGTCATTTGTACTAGAGGTGTTTGGAGGGTATTACGTGTTGCGAAATAGGTTTAACTTTGCTATCATTGAGACGCCCCGCACGGCTATTAGGTTCGTACAGGATTCTACGCACCTAACCTATTAATATACAGCACTGCCTTTATGTTTTATATTTTTTTTGCATTGAAATACAAAATACCACATTCAAAAATGTTTCGTCTTAGTTGTAATATTCAAAGACATTAAGCAATTTGTATAACATATGCGAAATGACGTCAATCGTGATTCAAAAAGTATTATTGCATCTTGCCTCTGTACTATCTTGTAGATGTTATTTAGTAAACTTGCTAGTTGCTTTCTTCTGATCCTGGAGGCATGCGCAAGTAACAAAAATATTTGCCCATGAATATTTACACTTGGAAAGAACGGGTTAATTGTATTAGGTCTTCAAGTAATTAATGTCGCGTTTTGGAACATGTTCATTAGCCACCCTAAAAAAAACGTACATCACGTATACTAGTTAAACGAACCATCT